GTAAGTCCTAACCAGGGAGGTCCTGGGAGCTGAAGGTTTGGAAATAAGGAAACAAATGTTTGTTCCTGAGCAAATCTCTTGTTCTCTCCAGATATGCAGTGGCCAACTCAGGTTAGTGCCAACAGTTCAGTTTGGAAGAGGGTGACAGAGATTTGTTTTTAACTGTTTCAGTGCCTAAACCAGGAGTTTCAGTGATGGGTTTTTTTCCCCCTAAGTGGAGTGATTGGAATCTGTCCTTTGCTTTATAGCTGTGAATAGTTTATCTTAGGGCTGCAAAAAATGCCATTTATGTGGCATTCTCTTAATGCCTTTTCTGGTGTCCTGTGCTGCTTGTTATGAAGCTCCAGGTGACTGGTGCAGGACCAAGAACACCTTTACTGTGGTCCTTGACTGAGTCTACTCATCTAGATTTTTAGGAGGGATGGAGAGGGACTATTTACAAGACCATGTAGTGACAGGACAAGGAGGAATGACTTCAAACTGAAAGAGTGTAGGTTCAGATTAGATATTAGAAAGAAATTCTTTACTGTGGGGGTGGTGAGGCCCTGGCACAGGTTGCCCAGACAAGCTGTGGCTGCCCCATCCCTGGAAGTGTCCAAGGCCAGGTTGGCCTGGTCTAGTGGAAGATGTCCCTGCCATGGTAGGGAGTTGGAATGAGATGAGCATTAAGGCCACTTCCAGCCCAAACCATTCTGTGATTCTATGATTCCATTAACTGTTGACTTTAAAAGCAACCCCCTTAGGAGGCTCAGAGCTGGAGTAATGACCAGCAGAGGCAGAAAGTGTGTGAAAACCAGGGCTGTAAAGGTCCTTCTGTCTTTTTCCTGAGCCAACAGGCTAAAGCCTTGGTACAGCTGAGACCCAGCTGATCAGCACTGGCATAACAACCCATCTCTTAACCTCCTTTGCTTTGAAATGCAGCAGGGGATGGCTCTGGCTGCCAGTGCCTGTGATAGCTTTTTGGGACGGGGAGGGAGCATCTGGTCCTTTTTTGGCGTTTAACTTTCTGGATTTGCCAATTTTCACAAAGAATTGAATAGAGAATAGTGAACAGGAGGAGTTTCCTAATCATCCTGAGGATCCTTCAGGAACAGCAAAGGGAAGCTGAATTCACAGATCTGAGTGTTCAAGGCAGTGACTGAGCACAGATCTAACTTGGGCACTTGCCAGTGGGGCGAGCAAGTCTCTGCTTCTCAGAAGTGTGTAATGCCAGATTAAGAGCAATCACTTCAGAAAATTAAAGGCCTGATTTGCTCTCTTTCTTCCTCATCTCTTCCTGCTAAATGTGTCAGCTCTAGTACTCTCTTGTCAGCACCCTGCACTGTATTCAGGGCCCGGTAAATTCTATGGATGTACAACTTGCTTTGCCATAACACTCAGGGAAATGGGGCAAGAGAGCAACAGATGGGTCTGCTTTGACACTGCAAATTTCCCTGCCTTTTCTTCTTTTACTTCAATTTGAATCAAAGCATTACTGAGCAGTGGGGAGGCCCTCCTCTCCTCCCTGCCTTGCAGCTTGTTGCCATTTAATAATGCAATACAGTGTTTATTAATCCCTGCCACTATCATTGCACTGGGTTTCCATGTGTGTGGGAGAACTCTCTGAGAGAAGGAAAGCAAGTGAGGGGAAAAAATAATAATGCCACAAATAATTGCCTTGGCATTCTAGAGAAGAAAGGCAGAGGTTTATGCCTGGAAAACAGCTTGTCATTTGTCTCTAGTAAGAGAAAAATTGCAAACAGATTTCCTACAGACACTGGCCACACACTGAACTCATTAAAAATCGTGTGCTTATTGCTTGTTGCATTGTTTCCCCTTTCTGGCTGCCACAATTTGTCCTCTCTTGGGAGGTTTGGCCACAGCATCCCCGTGCTCCCAGTGTGTCACTCAGGGCAATGCTTCCTGCAGCCTCAGACAGCACCCAAGGATTCCTGCCAGGCTGCACTTTCAGGAGGGGCTGAAGATGACAAGGGGCCATGGGTTCCCAGCTTTCCAGTTGCCCATCTGGAGGGATGCAGATGAGGCTCTTCATTCCTCCGTGCCCAGCTGCCTTCTCTGTTCAAATGGCCACGATAGATTTTTCCCTTGCATTAAAGGTTGTGAAATCTTTTAGGCTGAAAGATATATGTGCTTCTGATCCTGCATCTTTGCTTTTCCTTTGGAGAAATACTGATATGGTTAACTCTGGGTTAACAGGGGTGAAATGTGCCCCACCTGCCACACGGAAACAGGGCTGTGCCTTGAAGGGGATGTGTTAGAGCTGCAGGCAGCACTGAAAAGTCCCAAAAGAGGGGCTACAGCCCCCCCTACCATCCAGCTAAATCTGTGCCTGTCTTAAAACATGAACAGTTGTACAAACAAAGCCGTAAATTAAAGCACAGTCCTTGACAATGCTTTAACATTCATGCTCTGCTCTCCCTCACCGCCCACAGAAGAGAATGTTGCCTCCCAGGGGTGAGTGGTCTCCTACATCTGGCCTTCTCTTTCCACCTCTTTGTGTTTTCACTGTCCTACAGCTGGATCAGTATCCCAGGAGGACAGGAAGCATCTTCCCAGGCTCTGTCCACTTGGGGACAGTGACCTTTCAGGGCTGGGGGACCTGGACATTGCAGCTCAGGGTAGGAACTGGGGCTTACAGGGCACAGAGGAGGTAACTGCAGTCCTGGCTGGTGGTGGAGCAATGCTGGACCTCTGGCACTACAGAAAGCCCAAAGTGACCATGCTCCTGATGTCACTGCCACAGCTCTGTACATGATTTGAGACTGGGTGGATCTAAGACGTGGCATGGTTGATACACCATACACACTTCTGTGTCGAAGTGTCAATAAATCTTTTCACTCTGAAGCCAAGAATCTCACCAGAAATTGGTACCCATTTCTGAAGTATCTGGAAAAGACCTGATTGCTAAAAAAATTTATCCTCCTGAGCAAAATTCTGAAACCTGGGCTCTGCCAAGCTACCCTTGGCAAGCTAAGGGACTCCAAATCACTACTCACTGCTAGAAAACTGCACTCGTGGTGCAGTCCAGGATATTTCAAAGCCAGAAAATCAACTGAAACAGCACTCCCCAACTTGCAACAACAATCAACAGTGCCTCTTTAGAGAGAGAATGTCTGAGGAAAGAGTTAATTCTGTTTTCATGCCTTTAAAAACAATTATTTGTTGTCACCGTGAAGAGTGAAAGATAATAATAATTACAGCTTAAGTGTACTGTTCAGTTGCTTCCTGTCAGAGGGGCTAAGAGCAAATCAGCTAGTCCAGGCTTTTTTGAGCTCATAATTAGGTTCCTACCATCATATTCCCTCTTTTCTTACAGAAAGGGGGGGAAACTGCCTTCTGAAGTATCAGAGAGAGTTTTGTCTAATAATAGAAGCTTGCTCTTGAGTGATGTTTGAAATCCATGGGGGAGGGGAGAGAACAAAACAAGGGCAAGATTTATCCTGCAGCATCTATGCATTGTAATTTCTTTCTCTAGATCTTTTTTCCTAGTTGCCTTATAATATTTTAAGGAGAGCTATAAAATGGTGCTTAGTTTAATACTGTGCAGAGCTCAGCTAAATCTCTTCCCTGATCATGTCACCTTTTCATTCAGTGACTCCACACCTTCCCTCTCAGTCTCCATCTGTCTGGTCTGTTTAGCCTACAGAGTCTCTGATACATGTAGTATTTCTCATAACTATACTGCACATAGTATGTGGAGACTGTTCTTAACTGGGTCTCAAATATATCATTACAACAAAAAGCAGGCTATGGAGATGTTGATTAGGGAGCTGAACCCTGCAAAACATAGAGCCAAATGAAGTGAACAAAGGAATGGAGAAAAGACATGAGCAGATATCCCTGGAGAAGGAAGAAGAGATGTTTTGGTTGAGAGGACCATGGTGAAATAGTGGCAAGTGTGGGAGAAATTGCCATGTTATAACTCAGTTTTAATGAATAAAACCTTATGGAATATTTTTTCTACTGATATTAAAAACAGGTTTGAGAAAAAATTCCTCCCTGTGAGGGTGGTGAGGCCCTGGCACAGGTTGCCCAGAGAAGCTGTGGCTGCCCCATCCCTGGAAGTGTCCAAGGCCAGGTTGGACAGGGTTTGGAGCAACCTGGTCCAGTGGAAGGTGTCCCTGCCCATGTCAGGGGGCCTGGAATGAGATGATCTTTAAGGCCTCCTCCAACTGAAACCATTCTATGATTTTATGTAAAGAAAACATCAAAACATGTGAAATTACCTACTTTGGGGTGGATTTTTTTTTGTCCACCTGAAGCCTCAGCCTATTTCCAAATAAAGGTGTTCAGCAATGTGAACATCAGACCTTTGAAAAATACATGGAGATCCTACAGTCTGAGCTTCCCCTCAGGAAGCTGGTGCAAGAGCAGGCGGTTTTATGGTCATCACATGAATGCAGGAACTAATCTTGAGAAGAGAGTTTTGCAAAATGCCTGGTGGACATGTAGACAATAAGGAAGTGTCTGCAATGACAATGGAAAGCACTTTCCCTAATGAGAAACATCCTCCTTATTCATACCATGCCCATGCCCTGTGTGGTTCTCTGGGTGGTGAAATGTAGGGTGGATCCAAGCCCCTGAGTGCAGCTGATCCAAGTTATCTAATTGCTGCTAATGTCTTTCTCCTTGGTAGGCACAGGAAACTTGTGTAATGAAAAACAAAATTAAAATAGCATCAGGATTCTGTCTTGGGGCACCAAGAGAAAGCAGCAGTGGTATTCCTGAATTAGGGATGCCAACCACTCCAGCTCCCCAGCCAGCTCTCTCTGAACATTTTGTACAGTATCTGCAACAATACTAACGAATGCAATCAGGATGAATCATGTAACAAGGATGAATCAAGGGTACAAAGGGGATCTGGCTGCTCAATAAAAACCTAAAACTAAAACCACCCACTGCATCCCTTTCAGAGATGGAATGGTTTGACCACAGAATCACAGAATGGTTCGGGTTGGAAAGATCATCTTGTTCCAACCCCCTGCCATGGGCAGGGACACCTTCCACTAGACCAGGTTGCTCAGGGTTGGGGCATCCACACCATAATACATTGAAATGGAGTATGTTACTGTTCTTTGGCCCAACACTGGAGCTGTGGACATGGAAGACTTTATTATTTTTAATAGTAGTCATGCATAAGTTCTCTTAGAAAGGCTCATCACATAACACAGTCTGAGCATCCGTCTGGTGTAACACCAAGTTCTCACCAGACACTTCTGTTCAAGGCAAATGGCAGTGAGTATCCTTGTCACCCAGCAAGGGGATGTGCTCAGTTTGGTGTGTTAGAGTTTGGCTGGACAAGTGAGGCACTCTCAATGCTTATTCCCCTCTAGCAGATTTGTCTGAGAAACCCAAAGCCCACCTTTAGGCTCGAATCCAAAGCCTGTTTGCAGCTATCAGGGTGCATTAACACTATCAGGGAAGTGTGAATCCAAGTCCCTTTTGCAAAGCAAAGTGGTGATGATAAACCACTGTGTCTATGCTAAGAGGCCTGTATAGCTCGAGTTTTGGAACTCTACAGCCAGGAATGTGCAATCATGCCCAGTAAAATCAGGCTTTACCATGACATTCAGCACTTACTCATTTGGCAGCTGTTCAGGACAGGTCACTGGTCTGAGCACATATCCTGAAACTACTTTAGCACTGCAATCATGCAACCCAGCCAATGCTAAGGCCATGCTGACAGCAAGAAATATGGAGAGACAACATTCACAACCCCACTGCTTTGCCCCCTTTTACCCTGGTAGCAAGCACACCTACCAGGACCTGCCACTGCTGAGTGCCTTTCTGCAGGAAGAGGAGGAAAAGGGCATGAGAACTTATAGTTATGGCAAAAACTAGAAGCCAGACATTCTGTTCAAAGCTACCTGGCTTTTGTTGTGGACATGGGAAAACATAAACTACCCAGAAAGACAGCTAGGAGACAAATCCAAAAGGAAATGTTAATGCCTTTCCCCAGAACTCATCTCTGTACTGGTGGGCAAATTCTGAGCAAAGAATTGGTTTACCTCCGTCACTTTACATTTGTCTGATGCAGTCAAATTCTGTAGTTCCCTTTTTAGAATATGCATTAGTTGATTTTTAAGTACCAGTCCAGTAGCCCCCAAGGGTGTGCTAGAAAGAACCAACCAACCAATTTCACAGCAAATTATTTATTCCACAAATATTGCCTCCCTTCCCAGCTCCTGAATTGGTTCTTGGTGGTTCAAAAAATTCTGAGATTTATTTGTTATTTAGAATTGCTTATAAATTTCTTCCATGAATAATGGAACTGGGCTGGAGATTGTTCACTAACAGCCTTTTGTGAACAGCTGTAATTCACTGTACAAAATTCATGTTGTGATTTGATATGTTAGCTATGTGATATTGTCTCCAACTGGATGAATTATATAGCTCACCAGGGAGCGTGGCATGTATTGTGATTGTAAAACTCTTGATTGGCCATTTCTAGGCAAAGTGGAGAAAATAATCTGACTGTGGATGTTTGTTAGTGGCAGGTATGTTTCTCAATCCACTTACCCTGACATAATTGGGAGATTGCTTCACTCATGTCAGCAGAAACGCTGTCTGTAAAACAGGTAAAAAAGGCATTACAGCAGTGTTTCTGAAATAATACACTCTCAGGGGGCTTTCCACCTGGCATCTGGTTGCAGATAAAAATGACAGAAGAAGGAGAACACTCTTTTAACCATTTTTTCGTATCACTTATATGGGATTTTTCCCAGTGAATCTGGTGTTGTGTGTTTGTGAGTCAACAGAAGGAGTTCATAAAGGCTGCTCGAGCTGCTGTTTGCTTTGTAGTGGTAAAGGCTGTACCCGAGCATTTTGTTCCAATTGCAGTGTTAACTCCAGGTGAAGAGGAAGAACAAACATTGGATTAAACTATTCCCTGCCCTAAAATCCTTCCTCAAGTTCACAGCTGGGCTTCTTTACCCAACTCTGCCTGTCCCCCTCCCCTCTGCTATTATCTGACTCTCCCCTCAGCCTGTCATTTCCCATCCACATCCTCTCCAGCTCCACTGTGGCTCTGCCTCTGCAGCCTCAGGACAGGCAACCAGCAATGACAGGGATCAGCATCTTTCCTCCACTGCACGAAGGGCTGCATCTCCCTGAGCCTGCACCGGAGGATCCTGGGCAAAATCTGAGACCCTGCTGGTTCCTGTGTTAAAAGGGCAACACTTTTTAACCTCTTAAGCAAGGTCAAAGCCAAAGTCCTCAAACTGAGGAGTGCAACAGCCCTGCAGTCCCCCTTCTTATTGCTTAAAGGTGGTGAAAAACCACTCTAAGGAGATGTTGGTGAGATCATGTAAACACCAGCCCATTGCCCACAGCAAAGACTGGTCAGCTCTTCCTCCCTTTTCCCTTTTTTCATGTGTGCAGATGTTGTTTTTTTTTTTTTTTTCTGAAACAGATTCAATTGACTTTCTAAATTGCCTTTATTTTATTTGTCACAAGGGTATAGGGCAGCCCAAGGTGAGAAGATGATAAAGCACAGCCATGCTTTCTAAATCCAACAAACTCAATTCCCAGGTCAGGAATATCGAACGCTGGGGCTCTGTAGGCACAAGCACACACACACAAATGGATAAAGCTCCATTATAACTTCCCAAATGTTGCCTGGTCCTCCCATAGCGTTTCTATCACCAGGCACCACCACTGTGAACAAACCAAAAGGGTTCCCATTCCCAGTTCCCTTTCCTGATTTGGAATGATGGGAGAGGAGGCAGCGCTGGGCTCTCTGTGCATACACAAACAGGCTCATCTGAATGCTGAGATGTTCAAAACCAGCCATGTTCACTCCTCCAGTGCATCCCCCCTCTGCATGTTTATGATCCTTCCCTCTCCCATTCAGAGGTACAAAAGCATTTGCTGAATTTTTTTGTCTAAGACAATGATGTGAATTTTAAAAAACTCCTTTACAAATGAGAAAAAAATCCAAATGGACTTTTCCTAAAAAATTATGTGGGGGAGGGAAATGCTGCTCTTAATTTGACAAATCTTTTTCGGGTTTGGGTGGGATTTTTTTTGTTTTGTTTCATTTCCCTCCCTTGCTAATGAAATTCCTAAAGATAAGATGGGTTGTTGTTGCCATAGAAACTTGGTGCTGGCAGAAACTAAGACTGCAGATTTATTCATGCGGCTTGTTAGTCAAACTTGATGCAATAACACAGAATTAATATTTTGGTCTCATCAAGATCTTGCAGCTTTTGCCTCTCTGCAGAACCTTTGAGTAGAGGGAAATGCTAAACTCTGCACTGCTGGGCTAAATCCCTTGGTCCTGTCTGGGCATCACATCAAGGGCAGCTCTGCTTTATTTACAGGGAGGGCTGAATCCCTTTGCTGCTGGGGTGTTATTGCTGCTGGCCATGGCAGGGGCAGGCCTGAATGGTGACCACAGGAAATCTGTCCTGGTTTACTTTCCAAGTTCTCTGGGATGAAACTGGCAGAGAACTGATTCTGCCACTCGGAGGCATCTTAATGAACAAAGGGTCTTAACCCTCTGGTAACTCACACAGTGTATTTTGTGTTCTCAGTAACATGCATTTTGTAACTGGTGGGCTACTGGTGGATGTGCATCCTTCACCTGTTAGATAAATAAACACTGATCCTCCTGGTGACAAAGAGAAACTGGTGGAGAGGACAGATAAATGTGCTGTGCCTTTGGCAACTCCACATCCATCCCACAGAGCAGAATAGGGGGTTAAATTTAAGGTCATTACTTAGCTCTGAGTGCGTCTTTCTCCTTGAGCTTTACTTTTTGATGATGGGATCCAGCTCTAATTGTAAGACATGAAAATTGTGTCTCTGTATGTTTTCCCTTCAAATGTCACTCATGTTTACTTTTACACAGTTCTTCCAAACAAAGATATGACACCACAAATAGGATTATAACTGAAGGAGGGGAAATAGGCAGCAGTAGAAAATTCCTAAGGGTTTAGAAAGAGGAAATCTCTTGGCCATGAAGCCTACTGTTAGAATTTAGGCTACTTATGGTTCTTGGGCACAAAGTCTAAGAGATATCATGAGTCTCAAGACACTTTTTGTTGCCTTCCAGAAATAAGTGAACCAAACAGCACAAATCTGTGCCTGGAACTGCTCAATGGTGAGTCAGAAATCCTGCACCACTACAGGCCAACACAGAGACTCACTTGGCCAACTCAAGTTGAGCCTTCGGAGAATGAAGGCTCTACTCCCATCCCACCGATTGAAATGGAAAAAATCAGTATTTTGAAACATTCTTCTTGTTTTAAGCTTGATGATACGAAATTTATTTCTTTACTTGATGAAATGTAACTTTCTTAGGTTCTTCCCTGGCACCTTTTTTGTACTTTTCACTACAACACACCAGGCAGCTAAACAATACAGGGACACAGAGAGCAAGGGAAGAGCACAGTGAGTTGGTGCAGCAGTTCAACTGATGGTTTTAAACAGAATAAAAACTAGCCAAAGTCAGGACTCTTATCCCATACAGACTCAAGTTTACTGCAGATAGCAGATATTTCAATAGCTCAGTGAGTTCTGAAGGAAAGTCAAAGGGGTAAGGATCATACCAAGGAAATGGAAAGAAGGCACCTGTTCACAGCAGCACCTGAATATCCCTGTGTGTGCATGGCTGTGCTTACACAGACACCCTTTTGTTGTACCTGCAGAGATTATTTTGCCCTGATGGGTCCCCCTAGTATAAGGATGGAAAAGGGCACACTAAAGGGGCTAGATAAACTGGCTTTGGATCATAAAAGGTGAAGAATATTAAAGCTCACATGAGATTTGAATTGTGGAGGATTACACTGATGTAACTGGACCTGTATTTTTTTTTGTTAAATATATGTATTTCTGTCACAGGATTAATGGTTTAAGCCCCTCACCAGCCTCTCCTTGTTATCATTCTTCTCAAGGAAGCTGGTTTTTCTCTCTGAGATAAGTGGGTGCATTTTTTTAAAGGTGCAGAATCTACTGGGGGATTCTTTGTTTTCATGGGGAACTCAAAGCACACAGGTGTGAGATGTTCCCACCGACCACA